GAGCCCAAAACTCTGGACTAGACAAAGGGCAATGAAAGGACTGTGCCAAACAGCTTTTGACAACCTGCACCTCACAACCTGGCCCCCAACTTTTCCACCGTCCCTCTGCCTGAGGTCACATGGGTGCAGTTTTAGAAATTCATGGAGCAGGGCAGCCAGATGGCTCAGTTGGTTAGAGCGCATGCTTTTAACAAGGTTGCTGGTTTGACTCCCACATAGGATGGTGGGCTGCATGCGGCTCCCGCAACTAGATTGAAAACGGCTGCTGGATTTGGAGGTGAGCTGCGCCCTCCACAACTAAGACTGAAGAACAACTTGACTTGGGAAGCTGATGGGTCCTGTGAAAAACACACTGTTCCCCAATGAAGTTTAAAAAAAAAAAATTCATGGAGCAGAATTCCTCAGAATTTCTCAGTTGCCTCAGACAGGTGAGCCCTGAGCAGCGTTTCACAAAGCAGAGTCCAAGGTGAACTCAACACTCTCCTTTTCCAGAGGGCTTGATATTGACACACTGCCTTTAACAAATTTGTCCAGAAAGGCAGTGGGCGGGACTTCATGCCAGAAGAGCAAACAGCAGGAGCCCTGACCTCGTCCTGGAGATAGGGCTGGGTGGGCAAGGAAGGCCGCTTTCAGGAAAGGACATCCAATCTATCTAATAACCCAACAAGTCGGAGTTAGGCAAAAGGTGGGAGCAGCCCCCTAACCATTCCTTTCTGTCTCTTTCAATCCTGTTTCTAAGTCTCTCTTGCTGCTTGAATGTCAGTTGCCAGCTCCCAATTACCTTCCCAGTGGGTCCCACAGATGTCATCTGAGGGACTGGGTGCAGAGGGAATGTTCCCCAGAAGCATTTGCTGATGATACTGTGAACCAAGCGCAAGAACACACAGGTGTAGGGAAGAAGCCAGCTCTTCCCCTCAGAGCTCACAGGCTGGTAGGGGAAAAACCCATGTAGGAACAAACAGTAACAACACCCAGTAAAAAGGGCTACCTGGAGATCTGTTCAGATTATTGTGCCCGTGCAGAGAAAGCAGGAATTTATCCTCTGTGGTCCTCAAGTTCCATGCATGTAAAATGGGGAAACCCACCCTGCTTCTTCCAATTGATTACTCCACTGCGGCCTAAAACGATGGTCACAGGTGAGAAAAGTGCTTGAGTCTCTTTAGGGGTCATAGGGACCAGGAGAGCCCAGAAAAAATTTAAATCCAGAGTTAACTCCAAACACTTGTTAACCGATCTCTATTCCCAACATACATAAGATCTGCCCATAATGAGAGAGCTCTGTGTCCCGTTCTCCTCCATCCCTCTGAACAGTTTAGAACAAAAGGCAGGAAACAGAAATCAAAGATTGCCGGGCATCCCAGTCGGGACCCCCTCTCGTTTGGAGAACTGTAACTTTCTGCTCTAATAAAACTATCCTCTGCTACAAACTTAAAAAAAAAAAAAAAAAGATTCAGATCTAAAGACAGCTCCTGGGTAATGCGGCCATTCACCATCCTGAGCATCTGTCCCACGGAGCACCTTGCAAACTTTCTGGACTTCCTTAAGTGCCTCCACCCTCTGTCTGTTTTTCCATTTATTGTTTTGTCTGCTTACCATTTATTGCTTTACAGCCCTAGATTGCTGGGCTGCACTGACCTCTGCTCATGACTCCTTCAGTAGCTCTCATTCCATTGGGACCAAAGGCAGTGGGCCCAACCCTG